CTGACTTAAACCCAATTGAGCATCTCTGGAGAGACCTGAAAATGGCTGTCCACCAACGTTTACCATCCAACCTGACAGAACTGGAGAGGATCTGCAAGGAGGAATGGCAGAGGATCCCCAAATGCAGGTGTGAAAAACTTGTTGCATCATTCCCAAAAAGACTCATGTCTGTATTAGGTCCAAAAGGTGCTTCTACTAAATACTGAGCAAAGGGTCTGAATACTTATGACCATGTGATATTTCAGTTTTTCTTTTTTAATAAATCTGCAAAAATGTCAAAAATTCTGTGTTTTTCTGTCAATATGGGGTGCTGTGTGTACATTAATGAGGAAAAAAAATGAACTTAAATGATTTTACCATATGGCTGCAATATAACAAAGAGTGAAAAATTTAAGGGGGTCTGAATACTTTCCGTACCCACTGTATACCGTCTTTGTGTCATATACAGTATGAAACAAGAAGCACCTATTGTGCATTAATCTGTGGCTGTTAGCCTAATGGTCCCCAACAGCTATACAGTTTTCCAGCTTGAGTGACATTTGTTTAATACTACAGTGCTTTCTGGGAAATTATTTAAATAACCAGTCTTGGGGCTGAAAGCCACATACAGGTTAAGGAACTCGGTTAGGTTAGGCAGCTTGAGAGACAGACAAACACATTCCTGGTTTTGGTGTTTTCATGGAATTTGTTGACAGCTAGAAAACAGAATAATGGCAGCCTAATCCTTTGAGCAAAAACAAATGCAGAGATTAGTCCATGAGGAAAATTGTTATTATTTACAGCCCCACACTGACATCCAATCATCAAAAGGAAAATGTCCCACTTTGTGAGTTACCACTTCATCAAGGGTTTTATATGAAGGAGCAGCGCACTTCATCAGAATTATTCAGCTAAATATAAAGCTTCATTATCTTCTCTGGGGCTTCCTGTTCAATTATGATGTGGTTCCCAGATAATTACAAATGTAGTAGGCAACAGCCCCTGGATACTGACGTTCACCAGTTGAGTTCACTAAAGAGTCAGACAGGAAAAGACTGCAGACCTGAACTCAGCAGAGTGGTAGCCATATTAGAGATAATGAGTGAATGTCTGAATGCCTCGCTGGTTGAGATGACTGCTAATCATCCCCACCACACACACACACACATAAGCGCAAACATGCTGGAATTAAAAAGTGCCCTGTGCCGAGAGAGACAGCCTTTGCATTCTCATCAAAATCATCAGTCCTGTGAGCACACCAACCCCTTAGCCTGCCGTCACTTCTTCACTTCCAGCCACCCTCGTCCACCTTCATTCTCCCATTTATGACTGTCCTCTCACTTTCTATCCCTCAGTTGTAATGATCTTTTTCTCATATATCACTCCCCCCTCCCTCATTTCTCCCCAGCTTCCCTTTCCTCTGTCTCTCATTATATCCTCTCTCAGACTCCCGTTAGCTGCCTTATCCCTCTCCACATCAACAGCTCTCCTCTCTCTCATTTGGCCCTGGCCCATTGCCTATTCCTCACTCCTCTGCTCATTTATCACCTTTTTGTCTCACACTGGCCAGGATGGACACCTTACCTGATAAACAAGTAGGACCAATTAAGAAGGATGAAAATGAACAAATCAGTGAAAGAGGAGAACTCAGGAAATGGATAGATAAAAAAGGAAAAAGAAGCACTTTCAAACAGATTATCTTTGACAGGTGAGGTCTCACACAGCAGCTCCACCAGCCAGTGTTACCTAAATAAGCCAATTTGCCAAACATGTCAGTCATGAAAATAATGTCCATAGCCATCAAGTTCATATTTTAGGACTTTTTTTTTTTTTTTTACATAGTTCTTATTTTAAAACTAGTCCGCTAAAAACACTGAACAGTGGGCCAGAGACAGCAGTTTTAACTAACTCATGGAGCTACCATTATCTTAATTAGCTAGCTGGCTACATCTGATATAATCTCTAGCTAGAAATGAGAAGCCTACTTTTGTGTACCTCTTGGCTGAAGGTGAAGACCAATTGTTATTTAACTAAAAAGGAGCCACTGCTATTTAAACAAGTTACTAAGAATTTTAAGGGTAAATCTGCCACAGTTTTTATTGTAAACTGCATAATGTGAGAACTGAAAGTTTGAAAGGTGTAACCAAAGGTTTAGCAAATGTTCAGAAAACATTAAAAAGTGGCTAAAATTAAGAAAAAATCTTAACAAAGGTAAATGATAAAACAAAATCAGTAAAGAGTAACTACCACCCCTTGAAAAATCTTGACTTTGCCAGCTTATGGTGGTTTAACTTCTTACCTTTCTGCAGTGAGGTACCTGTACAGGTTTACTATAATGTAGGACACTGTGAAACATTCACCTGAAGACAGCAGTGAAAAACTGCTTAACAGCCTGGTGTTGTTACTTTTTAATTCATTCACACACCAGGCTCTCAAACCATATGCATGGGTGCAAAATAAGTGTGTCTACAGACAGATTAGGACAATGGCTGTGTAGAATGAATAAGTGACTCCAGTGTTGTGGTGATCTATTAAATTAAGCTGGTTGTAGATTCAGTAGAAACCATCTGACAGTGAGAAAGCCAATGAAAGTCTTCTCCACCAGAAGGTCAAAGGGAATAAGGCAGAAAGAGCAGACTTGTGCAGGCCTGATTTTTCAGAAGTGCAGACAGAAGTAGGGCATCATGGCCATGTGTTCTACACATCCCAGAGATGTGTAGTGACTGATATATATTGTCTGGGGAAGTTTGCGTGATCGTTTTTTTTTCTAAGCCTGCCAGAGGGACCAGGTGAAACCAGACAAAGACTCCACTCAGCACATTTGGAAATATGTCTTACCATACCACTTTCCCACTTCCTTGTCACATGTTTAGTCTCCTTCTGTCATGATAAAGAGAAGAGGATAAGGACCACAGTCTCACTGCACTGTGCAGATGTTGGCATGACAATTGAAGTCAAGATATATACAGTATTGTTCAAAATAATAGCAGTACAATGTGACTAACCAGAATAATCCAGGTTTTTAGTATATTTTTTATTGCTACATGGCAAACAAGTT